TATATATATATTCAGGACTAGTGCTCATGCACCCAAAGCTCATTAACATGTAGCATTTCTAAATATCCGGCAAGAGTATTATTTATTTATTTTAATTTCTATCCCACCTTTCCTGCATGTGGGCTCAGAGCAGTTTACAACATATAAAACTCATGACAATAAAACCAACTCTAACACTATAAAATCACTAACCCTCAAAACAAAAATTCCCACTCACATTAGAGATCTTATTGAAGTGGAAGTGCAAGGAAAAGAGAATAACTGCTTGTGCTAATTCAAACTTCCTGTATCCTCAGTTTGTGTGTGTGTGTGTGTGTGTGTGCGTGTGTATGTATGGTAGTACTCACTGGTATGGAGTACTGAAACCATTGGTGGGGGCTCCTGAGGAGAAAATGGTGGAAATTGGTACACCATTATAGATGAGTACCAGCACCTCTTTTTAAAGCACTGTGTACTGTCACCTGTATTTCAGCTTGCAAGACCTTGTGTAACCAATTTCTGGGCACTATAATGTACAGTGATGGAAGCAGTAGGTGTTGCTCAAAATCTTGAGCAAGCAGAATTGCACTAAGTCTATGTTTGCATTTGCAAATTGTTGTGTGCACAAGAATGACAATGCTAATAAATGTGAAAGCCATAGCACTGTGGTGCTGATTTTGCCTATTATACTGACAGTGCCCTTACATGCACCTATTCCAAGCCATGTCTGTCTGCTTTGTTCTGCCCTTCCTTTTTCTTTTTCTGAGAGAGACAAAAGGTTTAATGAAAAGGGAATGCATATTTTTGGTCATCACTAATATCCAACCTGTTAGGATAATCAGTTTTGTTATTTTAAAGTCTTCTTAAGACTTCATATGTCATGGAATTAAAAGCAATATACTTATTACTTTGTTATAATTGTCTATGAAATGAATGAAAAGCCCATCACTCTAATCTCTCCCCCCTCCATTTTTTTAAAAAAGCCAACAATACAAGACTGTGGTTCATGTCCTGACCTGGATAGTCCAGGCAAGCCCGATCTTGTCAGATCTCGGAAGCTAAACAGAGTCGACTCTGGAAAGTATTTGGATGGGAGACCTCCTTGGAATACCAGCAGTTGGGAGGCAGGGGCAGGCTTTATTCAGCCACCTCTCTGAATATCCTCCAGGCCCCCAGTAGGGGTCAGTCACCAGAGGTCACCATGACTTCCAGGTGCGTGTGTGCACTCATGCACACACAGACACAAACTCACATATGAAAAATCCAAAAAAAATACCCCCCCAAAAAAGACTGTGGTTCATGCAGTCATAGAAAATAAATAAATAAACCCAGATATAGTCAATCAGTAATTGTGATCCCAATGATCCCAGACTGGAAGCTTATCATGAAAATCCTCAACCTAGAATAGAAAACTGGGATGACATGCCAATGACTTACAGGCCTGGAGAACAGCACTCCCTTTTTATTCACTTGGGTATTCCTAGTATAAATGTTAACCCTAGCTCCAAACCAACTAACCTGTGTGAGGTGAAGCTCTTCCTGATTATAAGGCAGGTATATAGTGCCGTAATCAAGGTTGTTGATGCACTATCCTTTCCGTTTGTAGGATGTAGCAAATTTCCCAGTCAGCCTGTTTGGAATTTGAACAATGCAACCAGCTTTCAAACAGGATTGTTCAGATGCTGATTCCCAGTTTATCAGGAGGTCATCTGGGAGTAGGAGGTTTCTGGGCAGGCATATGGGAGAGCCACAGTGCCAGCTGCAGTGCCACATAACTTCTGATAAAAAAAGGAAGTGACATAAGGAGCTTTAGAAATAAGGCAATCTTATGTCACTTCCAGCCATATACTGGAAATTACATAGCACTACGTGTGATGCTGCATGGATTCATTTTTAATTAGTAAATTAATGTTTTTTTTCTTTATATCAGCTAATATTACCTTCCTGAAAAATAATTTAGCTTCTTTGAAATCCCTCATACATTGTATTCAGCACTCATGTTTGCCATGAATTTTAGGTGAAATATGATGGAAGCTCAGAGGCATGTGAGTCACCATCCCAACTATCCAAGAAGAATAAAACCCCAAGAGTTTCTCAGTTTAAATGAAATTCAGTGGCAACAAATGATATATACATGACACTCAGCAGTCCTCAGATGATTGTAATTTAAGGACAATACTTACCAAAAACTTGAAGAAATGTCTGATTCATCACCTTTCCAGCTTTATTTTTTGCTTCACAGTTATAAGGACCGGCATCAGTGTTTTTGATATCTCTGATGGTTATTTCTCTGCTGCTTCCTCTCAATGTATATTTGTCATTTTCTTCAATACGTTTTCCTTTTCTAAAGAATAAAACAGATTTATAAACAGAATAAAAAATATTTTAGAACCTGAAAGTTCTTATTCCTGACCTGGACTTTTCCATTTTTCAATATTACTTCTACACTAACTACTTTTATAGCTAGTGCCAGGCCTCATTTCAGGCCGGAGCGGGCCGGAGCAATACTCCGGCAGTAAACAGGCCCGGCCTGCCCCCCTCCCAGGTCACCCACCATCAGAATTATCCACCTGAACCATGAAGAAAGAAGACTGAGGTGAAATGCCTTCCCGCGGGGGGTACCACACTTCTCTGCAGCGCACCCTGAAAGGAAAGTGGGTGGCTACAGCTTGCAGCACCGGCACACCAGGAAGAGGGCGAGAGCTTCAGTGGACTTGCCTTTGTGGAGCTGGGCTTAGAAGTGGTTGCACCAAAAGCGCAGGAGCGTTGTTGGTCAATTGTAGGAATGGGTGAGGGATTACAAGTGGAAAGGCATTGTAAGACACCTGATTTGTACAATTGTTGCCACTTCTGCCTAAGCGAGGCACTTCACTCACAAAAGTGCAAGGAAGAAGGAGAACGCCTGCGAGGAGCAGGCAGCCAGAAAGTTGCAGGCGGAGCCAAATCGGCGGGCCAGTCCTTCTTGCTCTGCTTGGAGCCCTCCCCCGGCTGGAGGAGGCAGGCAGGTGTAGGAATGTGTGTGCGTGTGTGTGTGGGTGCCTATGAAGACACACACAGGGGGACTCAGAAGAACAGCTCATCTAGTACTCTTAAGAGTTTGAGTGTCTGTGGGTGTGTGACACAAACTCAGAGCTGGAGAGCTGGATTCGGTGGGTGAGTGTAGGCAGATATATTTGCTCCGGAGACATCTAGCGCGGGTGAGGGAAGTTGGCTGTTGGGTGAACAGGAGCTAATGTGTGGGTGCGAAAGAGAGAGGTGAACTGTTGAGCGTGAGAGGAGAGCACGTGCCAGATCAGTTACTGGGGCAGGAGAGATAAACTAAGCCTCTATCTGTGTGAAAGATCTTTCTAGCGACCGAAAGGAGACTGTAGGGTCCATATAATGCTGAGAGCAGAGGCTGCCAATGGACCTGTTGATTATTATTTAATATAGAGTCAGGCTCAAAGCTGCCCTGCGGGACCTTTCACAGTTCCGCAGGGCTGTGAAAACAGCTTTTTAGGCAGGTGTTCCGTTAGGAGTGGTGTATTACCAGCAGCGCCCTGTGTGAACTCTGACCCAGCATGACCTAGGGTGGTGGCACCGCTGAATGAGTCCTTAAACTGCACTTTTACAAATGATAAAATACAGTAAATCATTTAAAACACAGACAAATCGATTTAAAACATAACTTCGATGGCAATAGAAATAAATGATTTACTGTATTTTATCATTTGTAAAATGTATATTATTCATCAGTTTTGTGGAAGCCGCCCTGAGCCTGCCTGGTGGGGAGGGTGGGGTAAAAGTTAAAGTAATAAATAAATAAATAACCTTCCATCAGCACTCTCTGGAAGTATGAAGCTTCCTTTGATTTTGTGAAGGACCCACAAAATCTCTAACTTCCACTTCCTGAAATAACCCTTTAATCATCATTATAGAGCCACAAAAGCAGGTCTCTATTTATTTTTTAAAATGTGCTCTGTTGAAATCACACCAAAAAAATTCCATGTAAAACTGAGATTTCATGCTCTATCACTAAAAATTGGATATGGGACACCTCTTGGGTGTAGAGACCTTTCTGAATTTCTTGGAAATTAAATGGAAGATGGCAGAGTTAAAACAGTTCAAATACTGGAGACAGAGGATTTTTTTGGTCAGCATATTGTTTAAATGGGAAAATACGGATGAGTTTAAAGTCTCTGCAAAGTGAAAAAAAATATTTGATTTGGGAAATCTCAAGTTTGAACAATATGATTCGAATATTTTCATTTTTCATTGCTATCATCGCATTGTTGAATTATCTGTAGTTGGTCTTTGTTGTTCTAGTATGATGTTATATTTGTTATGTTATTTTATGATATAAATAATTTTTTAAAAAAATATATAACACAGACCTCAATGAGTAGTATATGGGAGCCTTTTTACTGAGAATGTAAGAACTTAGCTTAAGTAACCAAAAAATGGCACCACAAAACGAAGGTGTGGCAAACAGATAGTGGTGAGGAGGCAGAGATGAACTTTTATGCCATCTTTCATAGGTGGGCAATTAACTGCCTCAGCCAATTAGTGCTTTGTGCCTAATTTGATTTCAAAGGGGCTGAGGCAATGGTTCCCCTGTCCCAATGGCCATGTTGTCAGTAATTCTCAAAACAGTCCTGTAAAGTAGCTTAATATTGTCCTGTTCCCCATTGCTGAGGCCAAATGCCCCTAAGCTTGTCAAAGGACACATACTCAATTCATTGCAAGCCAAAACCCATCTTCTGGGTGTGGAACAGCAGTCACTGGGGGCGTGCATAACTCATGCAGGCCCAGCTGCTTGCTACTGCTCAACAGCTGCTGCCCCATGAAGTGTTGTGTAGTGGTTAGTGTTCCAGTCAAGAATTTGGGAGACCCAGGTTTGAATCTGAGTTGGGAAATACCTGGAGATTTTGAGGGTGGATCCTGAGCAGTGGGTGTTGCCTTCTGACACACTTCCAGTGATGTCAGGGGGTGTGGCATATGCAAATAAGTTATGCTAATGAGTTATTCTAATGAGCTCCTGAACCTCTTTTTCTACAAAATGACCCCTGGCTAGTGCCAACAAAGTAGTGCCAAGTAGCTAGTACCAAATAGTTCATTCAAAGTATGCAATTTTTATTACATTGTTGCAGGGCAGCTCTTTTCTCATAGGCTGCATTGTATAATCAGGATAATTCAGTAAGTTAGTTTATTTGATTAGTCGTTTTTTCAACACACTTGTTTTAAGTTATTATGCATCCTGACCTGTTCACTGCATGTGCAGATCCAGTGATGAGAGATTGAATATAGTTTCCGTGGCAAAAAAAAGAGAACAAGGTGGGGAAAGTTCAAACTGTTCTGATTTGATGTAGCGGGTACCAGTTGGAAGAATTACCTCATGTGGTTTGACGATTTTAGCCAGTGTAACACACTCATATTGGGATAACGTACCCTATTGTCCATGTATGAGCTTTTTAAATAGTGTTGATGTTTTACTTGTTGTTTTTTATTGCATAAATGTGTGTACGTGTGCTTAAGACTACTGGTCATGTAAGCCGAAATATATATATATATATATATATATATATAGTTTCTTTTTAATATTGAACTGTTACTACAACAATACTCCTTCCATCCATTACTCATGATTGACACAATTTGCATCAAAGGTGTACTCTCAACAAGGAAACATTTTAAAATCAGGTTATATTTTTCCCTATACTCTTTTCAACATACTAGCTGACATGCAACACAAAATGAAATTCTGCACAAACTGATCCAGGAGAAATAGAAACCTTATATGGTATTAATGATTACCTAATTTAATTGTCTATACAGTATAGATTGTTTAATCTACATGGAACGTCCCCTCTTTTGAATATTTTTGACAAGCAAACAGTACATTTGAAATGACCTGTTTCTCTCTTAAATAAGCTATGCCTTTCTCAGCTGAACAAAACCAAAGTTTATACTCCAAAAGATGCAGACTATGCAGTCTGTACAAATGGGAGAGGGGGGGAATCTTCCTGAGACTATAGAAGGTTTTGCTTACATGTGGTTGCAAGGATATGAACACTCACAGTAGAGATTACTGATAATTCTTTGACATATGAATAATTAAAGAGTGTGCAATGAAAGAGAACAATAAAATACTGTATTTTATGTTTTTAAGAAACAAACTTCCTCAAAATATATAATTCAGAAAGGCTATAAGCTTTATTTTTATATCACCAGTCATTTCCATTGAAGACCCCATTTCAGCCAGTTTTATGAAAACAACTACAGTGTTCAATGGAGAAGCTTGCTTCTGCTCAGTAAATGCAATCTGAATGCAAGGATAGACAGTAAAGGGAGAGGGGAGACATCATCCAACAACCCAAGAATGTGAGTGTGACCCTACACATCTCTGTAAGGGAGTCTGTAATTTGGATTGTGCCAGGGGAACCAAATTTTCTACTACAAAAAATCATGCAAAATGATTCCTTCTAAGACACAGCACTGGAATGTATTTAATTTGTGAAATCAAGCTATTGATAGATGAACTATGCTATACTCCAAATGATATTTAAATATGAAGAATATTTGGTAAAATAGGTTCCCCAAGATCAACCTTGGTGTTCTTTCAATAACTAATCAGGATATTGTGCAACATAATAAGGATCCAGATTTTATTTCTAGTACACAAAAATGTAGAAGGTAATATTTTGGGACTGAGTATACTGCACAGGACAATCAGTACTACTTGTACTAAAGCTGCCAACCAATGAGTGAGGCCTGGAGAGCTCCTGCAATTACAAATATTCTCCAGATTACATGGATTAGTTCCTCTGGAGAAAACAGCTGTTTTGGCACCACATCCCTGCTGAGGTCTGTCCCCTCCCGAGCCCCACCCTCCCCAGGCTCCACCTGAAAATCTTCAGGAATTTTCCAGCCTAGACCTGGCAACCCTAACTTGTACTTAGTTGTTCAACTTTCGATCAAATAATATTTATAATCCTTATGTACTTCAGAAATAATTTGTGAGGTTTATGTTTTTTGTTTTTAAAATTTGCTGTTAGCTGAGAGCAGCATGTGAGAGGTGAAGATCTCATAGAAATAAAATCTAATAATTGGCTGCACTGGTTACAGTCTTTGTGGCAAAATTACCAACAAATTTATTCCATGTCCCCTGTGGGAATATAACTGAACTTGGACTCCTATTCTAATTAGTACTTAGGAGGTCTGATCAAGGTCAGAGACATTCAAGAAACATGGTAAAGGAAACAACCAGGCTAAGAAATGGCCTCAGTTGGGAGGGGTGCAGATATTTGTAGTTTTACACTTGCAGTGGTAGAAACAATTTAAAATATTAGATTTCTGGAAAACTGGGGGAAATGTGCCTAGTCTATCAAAAAGAATTAATCAAAATATTCCCTTGAAAATAAATGCAATTGATGACTTCAAAAACTGTTTGATGTAAACTAAAAAAAATGCCTGTGGCTATTTGAGTCACTATGTAATGCATAAAAATACAATCAGGTTTTGTGTGCTTCATGAAGCATATGACAATCGGGGGATATGAGAAGCAAGAGGAAACCATGGAGGTTGTAGAGAAATGCAAAAAGAAAACCATACTAAGTGCAATCCTATGAACCAACACCCTAGTGTGCATGCCTTGGTTTTAAAGTTCTAGACTGGAGTAACTCTGCACAGGATTATGCCACTAAGCACTTATGTTCTGAAATATACACTGAAGTTTGCACAATATAGATACATGTTTATATCGTCATAGCTATATTGTCAGAGAAGGAGAAGAGGATAAAGAAGAAGAAGAAGAGATTGGATTTATACCCCGCCCTTCACTTGGAGTCTCAGAGCGGCTTACAAACTCCTTTCCCTTCCCCTCCCCACAACAGACACCCTGTGAGGTGGGTGGGGCTGAGAGAGCTCTGACCCAAACTGCTCTTTTTCAAGGACAGCTGTGCCAGAGCTTGTGACTGACCCAAGGTCACATCAGCAGGTGCAAGTGGAGGAGTGGGGAATCAAACCCGGTTCTCCCAGATTAGAGTCCGCACACTTAACCACTACACCAAACTGGTGAATACTCTCAGAGAAGGGGAGGGCAGAAATAGAGGGGGAAAGATTGTCAGAAAAGTGAAGGGGGAGAAGGAGAGGGAGAGAAAGAGGGGGTGGAACATATTTTGAGAAGGGGAGAGAAGGAAGGAAGTAAAGGGGGGGAGAGAAGGGATGCATTTTCCCTGAAAGTTTTTTGCAGGTCCCCACTTGTATTCTGTAATATTTAAATCTCTTGGACGTTACATTTCACTGCTACAGAGATTTGAACTTACCTATACCAGCTGATTTCAGGTTCAGGTGAGCCACTGGCACTACAAAATAAAGTAACTCTTTCTCCTCGATCTGCTGTGGCATTGAATGACTTCTGGAGCAATGTAATAGTTGGAGGAACTGGGCAAAAATGTGAAATATAGATATATATGAACTTTGATAATTAAAACAAATTTCTTACATGGTCTAAAATATTACATCTTTAGTAATATCAGTTGCAAACACAGTATCACAATGTCATGTCACAATGCCGAGGTAGACGGAAGTTTTAACTGAAGTAATATTCTTTTCCTTTAAATCTTTTCTGATGAAACTTCCTGGAAATAGAGACTTTAAGGGAGCACCTATCTCGCTGTTGGATATAACACATCAGGAAAGGGGAGTTTTTATTTCTGTATATTTACCTCTCCCTTATAGGGGAGACCCAACTGACAGGTTAACTGGGGTGGGGGGCACACAAATTTATCTAGCTCCACCAAGTTCTGATTCCAGCAAAGGCAACAGAGATAAGATGGCTTCTGCCTTCAAAGTTGACTCAACTTTTGTTATTTTCTCATTTTTCTTTCTTTACCAATATGTAAAAAATGCATTTATGACTCTCTTTTTTTTAAAAAAAAAAGCAACAACATTTCACTGGACTACAGCTCCAACACATGAGATAAGCAGACTGCTAGCAGTGCCTTATTGCAGCGGTAAGAGGAGACAACTTGAAAAGTTATGGCTTTTGGATGTAACATGTCAGGAAAGGGGAGAATTTATTTCTGTTTATGGTTTTTAAATCACAGATATTTAACACAAGATGTATGTGAACTGTGTAAAGACTAATGGAAGAACTGCCTTTGCAAAGCAGAGTGGAAATATTCATTTAACCAGATGAAATATATCAAGTATATCAAACCTGTTTTCACTTTCTTTCCTGGATTTATTTATTGCACCTATATCCCATCCTATCCCACAGTGGGCTCAGGGCAGCTCACAACATTAATAGAATACATAATTTTATGTATAATATATACAAAATATATAATTAAAAACCAGTTAAATAAAACAGGATAGCAGCTAAAAAACATACATTATTCCAGAGCAGTCCAATATGCCTCCTGTTAGATGTTAGCAGGATATTAGGCAGCTATAGGCTCAACCAAAGGCCTGGTGGAACAGCTCTGTTTTGCAGGTTCTGCAGAACTGTAACAGGCCCCACAGACCCTGATCTCAGTTGGGAGAGTGTTCCACCAGGTCGAGGCCTTGGCAGAAAAGGCCACAGCCTGCTTGAGGCTAAGCAGACATCTTTTGGGCCAGGGATTACCCATAAATGTTGGTCTGTGGAGCGCAAGGCTCTCCAGAGCATATATGGGGAGATAGGGTCCCAAAGGTATGCTGGTCCCAGACCATGAAGGGCTTTATAGGTCAGTACCAAACCTTGAAGTAGATCTGGTACTCAACTGGTAGCCAGTGCAGATGGCATAGCACCAGCTGAATGCATGCTTGCACAGACGTCGCCGTCAGCAAGCACGCCATCACATTCTGCACTAGCTGGAGTTTCTGGGTCAGGTTCAAGGGCAGCCTGGCATAGAACGTGTTACAGCCTGGCATAGACCGAATCCAGCCTGGAAGTGACTGTTGCATGGATAGCTGTAGCTAAGTCCTGGGGGGAGAGATAGGGAACAAGTTGCCTGACCTGCCGCAGATGATAAAAGGCAGATCTGGCAACAGTGGCAACCTCATTATTTTCCCCAGTTTCATTAATTATAAATCTTAATATATGACAAAGAAACAATTATGTTGGTGACATATAGTATAACACTTAAAATAATCTTTACTACAAAGAGCATGAATAGAAGATAATCTACTTTTTAAATTTCCATCACTATTATTTAGAATATTCATTTTATGTTACAAATACTTTTTATATTCGGATTTAAGAAAGCATTTCTCCTTACTATATCAAATATATACTCTAGTTATTTCAACAATATACAATGTGACAGTTGTATACTCCTATATTTAGATAGAAAATAATATATGGAAATAGTATATGGAATGTCTGTATATATTTTTTTAAAAAAGAGAAGAGTGAAAAGAAGAACGACAACTGGAACATGTCAAAAAGATAAAAGGAAAGTAGAAGAAACAGATGACCAAGGAATCAAGGAACTGGTGGAAAAGCTATCATGAACACTGGTGCATCAAATGCAACAATTTGAGAACCCAGAAGAACATTCAGAATATCCACAGAAACATTTAAGAATCTGGAGAAAGAACCTAGAAGAACATTCAGAGTATTTCAAGAAACATTCAAGAATTTGAGGAAAGAACTCAGAAAAACATCCAAGAAGCAAGTCAAGATTTATTGGCTGGACTATCAGAAATTAATGTAAAATTACAAGGGCAATTACAAGAAATCATAAGAATTAAAGAAAAGCAAAAATATAATGCTAAATATCTAAAAAGACAAGACGGATTGAGAAAGGAATTGAAATCTTGGAAATCCAACGCAGAACAAGTAATCTGTGTTTTTGAAGCATACAAGAAAACTTTGGGAGGCTAAATTTAGAAGAGAAATTTCATGAGCTGCATCAAAATTATTTAAAGATACAAGGAGATTTCCCTTATACTGACCAGATATTTAGAGTGAATTCAAGATTTCATTCCCCCACAAGCTGCCTTGAGATGCAATATTGAAGAAGCAAAAAGAATCTTCATTTAAAGTAGCAGAAAAAGAAGTGCTGATTTTTCAGGATCTACCAACAAGTGTATTAAGGAAAAGGAAAGACTTTGACTTTCTGAGACAGATTTTACAAGAAAAATAAAGTACCACTGGAAAATACCATTTGCAATAGGGGTATACTTACCAAAAGGAAATATAGTAATTGTGACAGAAGAACAAGCCAAGCAATTGGCTGAAGAAGTGATGGATTTACATAGAGGAACTGAAGGAAAATCTCCAAGCAACTCAAAAGTTTGAAGACCAAGAGCTCAGAAGAAGGAACAGCCATGCATCAACAATGGGACAAAATGGATACATTAAAAATAGTATCGGTAAACATTAATGGACTGAACTCTCCCTTGAAACATGCAAAAGCTTCTAAGCTTAAAAAGCAAAACACGGGTATTTTATGCCTATGAGAATCTCACGTAAAGAAACATGAGCATATTATAAATAATTCTAAAAATTAAGTATATCTTGCCTCTGCTTAAAACAAAAAGTGCAGAGTAGCCATTTATGTAAGTAATCCACAATTAGATTAATTAATCATCATATGGCAATATGTATAGCATAGCCAGGAGAGCTGAAGATTGTCCAGAAGCCTTATTCTATCCCTTCAGTGTATTGCACAACTAGGTGATGAGCTAGACTTATTTTTTTTGGGGGGGGGGGCATAAAAATATGCAAAAGGACAAAGCACAAGGCCCAGATGGGCTGACAACAATGTATTACAAACATTTTGAAGATGTTTTAATTATAGTTTAATATAATTTAATAATAATTACAAAAACTTATGAATGAGATAAAAGAAGGAAAGACTATACTTCCGACGAGGTAAGAGGCATATATAACATTAATATATAAAGAAGGCAGTAATTCATAGGTGCAATGATCAAATATAAGGAAAATAATACTGAGTAAAGTCTTTTAAAATATTTTCTTTGGTTCTAATTTCTGCTTAAGGTGACAGCCGTATGAGCAGTACTAGATAGATACTAAATTTAATACACACTGATCAAACAGGCTTTGTACCAAAGAGGTATATGAAAGATAATATACAATTCAATTACTTGAAAGATTCCCCCCCCGGGGATGTATGTATGTTTGTGTGTTGAATGTGTGTATGAAAATTTATTAAAATATTGTTTAAAAATATAATATACGATTCATAATAGATGCAATTGAAATTGTGAACATGAAAAGAAAGAAACCAGCATTTTTATTTCTGGATGCAGAGAAAGCTTTTGATAATTTTACCATGGCCTTTTCTACTGAGTATATTTCAAGATATGGGCTGTGGTGCTGAATCCTGGACCTGGATGCAAGGTATATACTCAAACCAATAAGTAAAGTTTTTAATAAATAGAAAATTAACAGAAGCAATTTCAATTGAAAAAGGACCAGGCCAGGGATGTCCCTTGTTACCCCTACTATTTATCCTAATGAGAGACATTAGCTGAAAAGATCGGACAAGACACAGAGATCCAAGAAATAGAAGTGGATGATGTAGAATTAAAATTAAAAGCTATGCAGATTATGTGGTTCTAACACTCTTGGATCCTCAAAAAATCATTACAGTTTGTAATGGAACATATTGAAGAATTTGTATCCTTTTTAGGATACAAAATCAACAGGAAGAAGACAAAAATGATAATGATTTTTTAACTCAACAACATGAAGATATTATAAAGAGTATAGAATGTACAATAGCCACAGATCCCATTAAATGCCTGGGAATAAATGTGACTGGAAAAAACTGTAATATGGAAAAAACCCAATTATCAGAAGATTTGGAAATGGATACAAGCAGATTTATCAAGACAGGAAAAAAATAAAAAATGTGGCTTGGAAGAATCTCTGCAAACAAAATGAGTGAACTGCCAAAACCAAGGCTATTTTTGGGCAGGAACGCACAGGAACGGAGTTCCGGCTGGCTCCCGAATTGGCCACACCTGGCAGAAACTCATTAGCATAACAGGCCACACCCAACAGCAGAAACTCATTAGGACTGGCTACATTAGGGATGTGTGGCCTAACATGCAAAGGAGTTCCTGCTACAAAAAAAGCCCTGGGTTTTGACAACAAATAAGGTAAACAGAATAAGAAGCAAAAGGTGGGTGTGGCTGGATGACCAGACTTCTGGTAACGTGGGGTGTGTGGCCTAATATGCTAATGAGCTGTGCTGTCAGGTGTGTGGCCTAATATGCTAATGAGTTTCTGCTGTTGGGTGTAGCCTATTATGCTAATGAGTGCCAGCTGGGCTTTTTCTACAAAAAAAGCCCTGGCCAAAACTATTTTTTAAATTCCAAATGCCACCTATACATGTAGAAGAAAGAATATTAAAGGAGTCACAAAGACAGATACATTTATTTAAAATGACAAGAAGCCAAGAATAAGCTTTAAAATATTACAA